TAGGAGTGGGATTGTTGGATCATAATGGTATTTCTATTTCTAGCTTTTCAAGAAAGTTCCATATCGATTTCCAAAATGGTTATACCATTTTACATTCTCACCAGCAGTGCATAAGAGTTCCAGTCTCCCTGCAGCCTCTCCAATATTTCTTATTTTCTGTTTTTTTGATTCGTGCCAGTAATGTTGGAGTGAGATGGTATCTTATTGTGGTTTTGATTTGTATTTTCTAATGGCTAGTGATTGTGAGCATGTCCTCATGTGTCTGTTAGCCGCCTGAATGTCTTCTTTGGTGAAGTATCTGTTCATAACCTTTGCCCGTTTTTTAATTGGATTATTTGTCTTTCTGTTGTAAAAGTGTTGGATTTTCCTGTAGATTTTAGAGATTAGACCTTTGTTGGATTTGTCATAGCCAAAATTTTTTTCCCAGTCTGTAGGCTCTCTTTTTACTCTTTCGTGAAATCTGTTGATGAGCATATGTGTTTAATTTTTAGAAGATCCCAGTTATCTAGCATATCTTCTAATGTTTGTGTATTATTAGTTATGGTTTGTATTCTATTTATGCCATGTATTAGGGTCTCTAGGGTTGACCCTATTTTTTCTTCTATGAGCTTTATAGGTTTTGGTTTTTTATTTAAGTCTTTGATGTATTTTGAATTAGTTTTTGTGTGTGGTGTGAAGTATGGGTCCTGTTTCATTTTTTTAAAGATGGACATCCAGTTTTGCTAGCACCATTTGTTAAAAAGACTGTCTTTTCCCTATTTAATGGACTTTGAGCCTTTGTTGAGGATCACGTGACCATAGGCAGATAGGTTTAGTTTTGGGTTCTCGATTCTGTTCCATTGGTCAGTGTGTCTGTCATTGTACCGGTATCAGGCTGTTTTGACTACCGTAGCTGTATAGTGGGTTCTGAGGTCAGGTAGTGTAAGTCCTCCTACTTTATTCTTCTTCAGTAGTGCTTTACTTAGCCAGGGCCTCTTTCCTATCCATATAAAGTTAATGATTAGTTTTTCCATCTCTTTAAAGAATGTTGTTGGTGTTTTGATCAGGATTGCATTGTATTTGTGGATTACTTTGGGTAGAATTGACATTTTTCACAATGTTGAGTCTTCCTGTCCACGAGCATGGTATGTTTTTCCATTTATGTAGGTCTTATTTGGTTTCTTGCAGTAGTATTTTGTAGTTTTCTTTTACCTCCCTGACCTTCCTGGTTAGATTTATTCCTAAGTATTTTATTTTTGGGGGTCTATTATAAGTGGTATTGTTTTCCCAATTTCCTTTTGGTGGTTCTCTTTATTGGTATATAGTACTCCAACAAGATACGGAACATTTTCATCATCCCGGAAAGATTCCTCGTTTCTCTCTCCAGTCAGTCCCAGAGGTAGCCATGGTTCTTATTTCTTTCACTGTATATTAGTTTTGTCTGTTCTTGAACTCCATAAATAGCATCATACAGTATGCACTCTGTGTCTGACTTTTTCTGCTCAAAGTAATGTTTTTGAAATTCGTTCGTGCTACACGTATCAGTAGTTAGTTTGTTTATCATATGGATATACCACAATATGTTTATCCTTTTTTCTAGTTGATGGGTATTTAAATTGTCTCCTTTTTTTTTGCTATTGTGAATAGATCTGCTGTGAACGTATGCTTTGATTTTTCTTGTGTGTATTTTTAGGAGTGGAATTGCTAACTTTTAGGACAGATACATGTTCAATATTTTAGAAACTGCCAAACTGTTTTCCAAAGTGGTTGTACCATTTTATTGTCCTGGCAGTGTATGAGATTTCTGCTTCGTTCCACATCCTCTCTGATACTTGGTTTTGTCTGATTTTTGTTTTTAACCATTCTGTTGGGTGTGAAGTGGTATCTCATTGTGTTTGGTTTAATTTACGTTTCACTGATGACTGCTGATAGTTCATTATTTAGTAATTCATCACAATTACTGTTTATTTCTCATTCATATCTTCTTTTGCTCATTTCAAAAAAATTGGATAGTTTAGTTTTTTAATATCCTCATATATCACACTTATGAGTCCTGTGTCAGATATATGTATTTTGAGTACTTCCTGCAGTTCATGGCTTCCCTATTCAGTTTCTTAATTGTAACTTTTGATGAGCATAAGTTTTTTTATTTTGATGAAATTCATTTTCTCATTTTTTAATTTTATGGTTACTGTCTTTTCTGTCCCGTTTAAGGGATCCTTGTCTACCCAAGTTGTAAAGATAATCTTCTGTGTTTTCTTCCATGTGAGTATCTAATTGTTCTAGGACCATTTGTTGAAAAGGCCATCCTTTCTTTCATTGAAATGCCTTGGCACCTCTGTTTTAAAATCAAGTGACCATACAAGCATGAATCTATTTCTGTACTCTCTACTGTTTGGTTGATCTGTTTGTCTTTATGCCAGTCCTACACTGCCTTAATTACTGTAGACTTATAATAAGTCTTGAAATCAGGTAGTGTAATTTATTCATCAAAATTCTTTTAGCTATTTTAGGACTTTGGATTACATATTAATTTTAGAATCAGCCTGTCAGTTTCTACAAAATGACTTCTGAGATTTTGATTGGGATTGTGTTGAATTTACAGATCAGTTTGGGGATAATTGACATCTCAATAGTCTTATATTTTCCAGTCTATGAACCTAATATATCTATTATGTCTTTCATTTCTCTCAGCAGTGAAGTTTTGAGGTTTGCTTAGGTAGTATTCTTACTCATCTATCATTAGGTTTATTCCTAAATATTTGATTTTTTTAATGTTAAAAATTTTTTAAATTTTACTTTCTGATTGTTTAGTGTTAATAGATAAAAATACAGATGATTTTTATATATTGACCTTCAATTCCACAACCTCACCAGTTAGTTTTAGTAGCTTGTAGATTCCTTTGGGTATTCTATGTACATAATCAGGTCAGCTGCAACAGACAGTTTTAGTTTTTTCCAATCTATATGCCTATTTCTTTTTATTGTCTTACTGCACAGACTGGGACCCTTAGAGATTATTTTTGATGAATTACTAGAATAATTTTGATGAACTAGAGTTCTCATTTCTGGTTCTAATAGTAAATATATACCATACTGGGATTTGGCATAAATGACAATATCATAATACAATTGAAGGAGGGAGGTTAGAGTGTTATTTTTCAATTGAGCTAAATTACCTTGAAAAGCCTGTTTTGGAGACAGAATTAGGATGTTTTGTCTTTATTGAAGACAGCCAAATCCTTGAGATACCTGTTGGTAAGGTTGACAGTAGTACCCGGAATCTAGGATTAGGCTCAGACAGTGTTTCGTTGTATCATTAAAATAATATTTCAGCTTTACTGCAAGCTTGAGAAGGGGACTTATGTCTCATTATCTGGACTTTTCCTCTTTCCATATTTTAGCCATATTTGCTTTATGATGTGCATTCCTCCTAGCAAATCAAGTTCTTATGTATATCATTAAATTATTTATGGCAGCTTAAGACTTCGGGTGTGGGCTATATATACCTTAATTTAACACAAGTTAACCTTACTTTAAGGAAAACCCACATACAAAAATCATGGTTTATTATATGTATCATACATGGTGATTCTTCTCCTAATAAAAGGATTGATGTTTGATGTAGTTGCATAAGATATCCAGTGTTCTTGTTAGTTGCTGTCAAGTCAGTTCCGACACATGGTAACCCCATGTGTTACCAAGTAGAGTGCTGCATAGAGTTTTCTTGGCTGTAATCATAATGGAGTCAGATCACCAGGCTTTTTTTCTGCGGGACCATTGGGTGGATTTGAACTGCCAGTCTTTAGGTTAACAGTTGAGTGCAAACCGTTTGCGCAACTTAGGGCTTTTACTGTTGCTATCGAGTTGATTCCAACTCATAGAGACCGTATAGGACAGAGTAGAACTATCCCATAGGGTTTCCCAGGAGCGGCTGGTGGATTTGAACTGCTGACCTTTTGGTTAGCAGCTGAGCTGTTAACCACTGCACCACCAGGCTCTTAGAACATTTAAAATATGATTTAACTTAGTTCAGAATTGTATATAAATTGTCAGGAACATATATAAAACATTTGAGTGTTATGCATTGTATACATCTATGAAAATTTTTTTTTAAATTCGGTAATTTATGGAATCATTGCTTACATATTTTCTATCTAATTTGGAACTATCTCTGTGCTTGACAAGTTGTTTGGTTGGTATTTCCGGCTTCATAGTGGTACTATGCTATAATGATTGTTTACCTTTCCAGTGTAAAGAATAGCTTTGGGAAAAAAATTCTCCTTTACAGTTATGTTGTATAAGTAAAGGGCTCTTTGGAACTCTTAATTAAAATATTTTTTTTATTTAAGAAGTTCTGTTTAAATGAAAAGATATGCATGCCAAAGCTTGATACAGAGCTTGAAGAAACCAGTTAAAGTAGTGGTGATATCACTTCATTTAAATTGATTGTACAGACTGCTTCCTTATGAAGCATTTACTGATGTTCAGCAATACTCTGTGCTATAATATATAGTGATGTTATCAGATTTGAAACTTTTATAAGAAAAGTGTATTTTACTGGCATGTATTTTTCCAAATGTTTGAAATTTAATAATTGTGAAATACTATGATTAAATGTAATTTTCAGTTAAAAAAACAATAGAGATTCTGCTATTGGTAGAGGTTTTATTTGCATGTGGAGAAGCATAGAATTAATTTTACATTCATGGTTTTATATGCAGATTAATCTCACAGAAAAATTATTTGAAAATTACAATTTTTTAAGTCACTTAATGGCTACTTTTTTAGGGGAATTTTCTATTTAAAGGAATCCTGTGATCAGTAATTTTTAAATAATTTCCTCTTGGTTTTATTCACATATTTACATATATATTTTTTCTGTATTATGTAGAAGATAGCTGCTATAGGATAAAACTTTAACGGGCAGAAAAAGGGAAAAGTTCCTGTGGTTAATAAACATAATGGTAACTGTTCAATACTTTAAGGCTGATGCTCTTTCATTTTATTTTTAAATATAGGGTATATTTACTTCTGGCACATGGGAAGAAAAGTCAGATGAAATTGCCTTTGCTGACTTCAAGTTCTCAGTCACTCATCATTATCTTGTACAAGAGTCCAGTGATAAAGAAGGAAAGGAAGAATTATTAGAAGGTAAATTTTTACTACATATTTTTTAACTCCTGACTTTTAAGAGTGCTTATAATTTTGAATCATGAATTTAATTCTCTTAATTCAGCAGTATCCTCTGGAAATGTTTTACATATGCAGAGTTGTTTCACCACATCTGAAGTAGAGTATAATCTTTTTAAAGAGTTACAGTATTATTCACTTTTTTTTTTAAATTTTTTTTAATTGTACTTTAGATGAAGGTTTACAGAACAAATAGTTTGTCATTAAACAGTCAGTACACATATTGTTTTAGGACATTGCTTAACAATTCTATGACATGTCAACACTCTCTGTTCTTGACCTTGGAGGACTTCTTTTCTTTTTGGTGGAAATATACGTAGCCAAAGATACACCATTTCAAAAATTTCTATATACGGTGTTATTTACTTTAATATTAATTAACTCGACACATATTTATTGAGTATGTAACGTATGCTAAAGGTCCCTGGGTGGTGCAGACAGTTTGCTCTTGGCTACTAACTGTAAGGTTGGCGGTTTGAATCTACCTGGTGGCACCATGGAAGAAAGGCCTGGTGGTCTACCTCTGTAAGATTACAGCCTTTGAAAACTCTATGGAGTGCAGTTCTACTGTGACACATATGGGGTCGCCATGAGTTGGAATTGACTCTACAGCAAGGGTTTTTAAAAGATATATGCTAAGTACTCTTCTAAGCCCTGTTAAACCTATGAGTTAATAACCTAAGAAACTTAACATTCCAGTAGGAGAGATAAGATCTATAGGTAAATAACAGTAATAAAAGGTAGAAAGTGATAAATGCATTCCAAAGTACAGATAAAGTTCTGTTGGAGAAAAGATTACTTTTAATTGTGGGAGACACAGAGGTGTTGTGGAGAATGAGGCACTTGAGCTGAACCTTGAAGGAATAAAAAGTATATATACATAATTAGTCTCTTAATCAGCTACATGTGTTGTATTCTGTATATACCCCAGTCTTTGGAGGCAAACTAAGTGAATTAAAATTCTAGTTTTTCTACTTACTAGCTGATTGACTTTTCTAAGCCTGAATTTTCTCATTTGTGAAATGAAGTAATAATACTTAGAGGATTAATGTGAAGATTTAATGAGATATTATACATAATGCCCCATCCGAGTACCTGGCCTATGCTAGGTACTCAAAGCTAGCCCTAGATATAAATCTTTAAACAATTGCAAAGGTACTTACAGTTGTTAATAGATCAAATTACCTAAAATCATCTCATCTTTTCATATACTAGTGTGTAACAGTAAGTGAGCAAGGTATTGAATAAATACGTATATTTTGGAGCTATCAGTAAAATACCTTTCTGTATTCACTCAGAAAATAAATATGTAGAATATGTGTTAATATTGTTCTGGTCAAAACAGATTATCAGACTTCCGGGCAACATGGTGCTATAGTCAGAAGCACCACACCGTCCCTCTGCAGCAAAGATCAGAAAAACTAAGTCAAACAGAGTCACACGTCAATCCTGAAACCCTAAGTATCAAATGAAGAGATAAAGAACTCAGCCAAGTACTGAATGGAATAAGAAACTGACTGAGAACAGCGAGCGAGGAGAGATACGTGCAGAGGTCCCCTGTCAGCTACCGCAGCACAGATCCACCATCTAGGACTCCTATCAGAGATCAACGAACAGGGGTATAAGAAAGCAGCTTCACGAAGCTTCTAGCAGGAGACAGAACAACCGGTAATTGGCCATATACGCTTTCCCACCCCCTACCCTTCTTCACCCCCACATAGCCTCTTCTGCTTCCTGCAGCCGCAGTCTCTTGGCCGGGAAGCACCCCAGTGTTGCTTGGATTCCACCTGCCCGCACTGGCCGGCTCCCTGAGTGCCTTTTGTTGGCTGCTGGTATTGCTTTTTTCTGCTTCTTTAGATTTCTACCTTACCTCTTACTACCTCTTTCTC